GATAGCGGGCTTGTATGCATCTTGAATATAACTTTGTATGTGACTGTATTCTGAACACTCTCTCGCTCTCTCTCTCTTTCTCTCTCTCTCTCTTTATCTATCTATCTATCTATCTCACGCTATTTCTTTCTCTCTCGTTCCAACACTATTTCTCACTTTTTCTCTGTGTGTGAGCGTGTTTGTGTGTGCAGGGGGGGGTTAATAAGTAGCGAAACACAGGCCGCGAAATAACGCGTTTTTAGTAAATCTCTCCGAGCGTCACGATACGCGTCCGTTTTGGGCATCACACAGAGATCTCCACATTTATGTAAATTAATTAAGATGCCCAAGTGCGCGTTTTGGTGTGGAATTCATTAAATTTGCATGTGCGTGTGTCATAATCGTACAACTACTGCCACTAGCTGCCCGCGCGCATCACAATCTCGCATCACCGCTGATGTGAATGAGAGACTATCACTGTCAGACCCAGGTCTGTGGGCCCTCAGAATGAAATAGTGACAGAAGAGGTAACAAGCAATATAGGTTGCCATCGACAGTTGTAGTAGTAGTAGTAGTAGTAGTAGTAATCCCAGGGCTGGTGGTCATAGTAGTAGTAATAAAAAGCATGGTCCTATCAGCTATAACAGCTTAGCATTCAACTCTTCATATACAACCAGTATTTTTTTAAAATTAGTATTAATAGTGACGGCTGAGGATATCTGCGAATGATGTGATTGGAGTACTGGTATCTGGTTACTGTTGTTTGCGAAAGTGCTGTGATGCTAGTAGTAGTTGTAATAAAAAAAATCCTAATGCAGTTTTTCAAGTCATCTCGGCAGCTCCCATGTAAAATCTAGGCGCAACATAATCTTCTCATTGTAACTCATCTGTCTTTGTACTGAAATAAGCCTGGCTTAAATTTATCAATAATACCAAAAGTAAACATTTGTTGCAAGTATATATGAAGTTCCCAATGAGGATCGATTTCATTAGGATTTTGTGGGAGTAGCATTTTTTTAGTAAGTTTTTTTTTTTTAAAGGTTAGAATTCGTTACCTTCGTGACAAATTTGAATTAATCAGATTTCTGAAATTGCATCTAAAAAACAAACCTCGCGTTTTTTTTTTTGCTATTGCTCTACCATATTCGTTAGTCGTCGCATCGTAACCGATGTTTTCACCGAAGTAGATTTAAGATAAGCTAAACCAGGTCAAATGAGAAGAAATTCTGTGCTCATCTCGAAACGTGATGATAACTGCCTGTCTTCTTGAAAATTGATTTCCAAGATCCTGGCCTTTCGCAGAACTCGGACCCCGACCAAAGATGCCGCTGACAGATATGTAGTCATCTCTATCATCGAGCAGGCTCCAATAAAAATTAACTTTGAAGTGTGGAAGACTTTACAAGTATGCGATTGTTCAGTGTACAAAAATGTTGTTTCGAGGTCCTCTTCAGTTTTGCCTTTTAGAACAAATTAACAAACCTACCTCAAGTTGGAGTAATGGTTAATGAGCTAGGTTTGCTGACTATTGGTAGTGAGTGCGTTCCTAATTGGTCCCCAACCTGTACACAGATAAATATATAAATAAAAAAAAAAAAAAAAAGGGTATCTTGGAGTAGAGTAATGGTTAACGTGCTAGAGTGGTTAAAACATGTTCCTGAGTAGTTTGTTTCTCACTGAGTGTTCAATTCTTGTGGCTTTTTACCAAGCTAGAAGTTTAGGGAATAAAAACAACGAAAAACGTACTTTAGAATGGGATATTTGATCAGCAACCCATATTTTTGACCCTAAGTTATGATTTGCAAACAACAATTAAAATATTTAAATATCACTCGAGTCAATTCGGGAAAAAAAATCTATTTATGGCGAAAATTTGACTTGCATTCTCATAAACTGTTTACTCCAACCATCTCTCAGGAATTTCTTGCTTTCTCAGCGAGAATATTTATTAATGAGTGTTATTGACTCGGTACTAAAAGCTTAATCTCTCAGTCTTCAGTTTTACATTCTAACCAGTGAGCTAAGCCTGAAATTTTGAGAGAACGTGATAGTGTCGCACCTTGTGAATTGCTGTAGATTTTACATACTGTCAAATTGGCTAAAGCCATATTTGAAAAAATAAATACTTTATATCTAGATGCCCGTTCACTGACCCCAATCTGGACCACCTGTTCAGGATAAGAATTTCAACGTGTTAACTGAATGAGCCATGACACTTGCCCCCACTGAGCATTCCTCATTGAATCGGTGACGGCAGAGGCGTGCCAGTTAAAATTGAGAAGTAAAAAAATCGGAATGAAATGCAGTGAACTGTGTACGCACACTTCAGTGTGTGGGGAGCGAGAGAATGAAAGGGGAGCGAGAGAGAGGGGAGAGAGACAGAGAGAGACAGGGGAGAGGGCGAGAGTGAGGGGAGCGAGAGAGAGAAAGGGGAGCGAGGGAAGAAAGGGAAGAGAGAGAGGAAGGGGAGCGAGAGAGAAAGACGAGCGAGAGAGAGAAAGGGGAGCGAGAGAGAGAGAGGGGAGCGAGACAGAAAGAGGAGAGAGAGAAAGGGGAGCGAGAGAAAGGGAGAGCGAGAGAGAGAGGGGGATCAAGAGAGGGAGAATGAGGAGCGAGAGAGAGGGGGAGCGATAAAGAATGGAGCGAGAGAGAGTGGAGCGAGAGAGAGGAGAGCGAGAGAGACAGAGTGGAAATGTCGGTGTTAACGTCTAAACATGAGGATGATAATGGATGGGATCTTTCTTTTATGTGCCGTGTCCCTTCAGGACGTAGCCGATCATAGCCCTCCACTTCTTCCTTTCCGTTGTAAATGAGTTTTGTCTTTTTATTATTTCTCCTAGACCCTGTTCTGCCATCAATTTGCTCAAGCCCATCAATTATGTCACGTGTTGTTTTCCCCTATCCCTCCTTTTCTCTGTCCGCCCTGTGAGTATTCGATATTCCCTTCTGTCACTCTTTCCCTAAATCTGTCCTCTGAGTATCAAATTTTCCAAGCCCTCCTTCCTCATTACGTGCACCAGAAATTTCAACTGCCTCTTTATGATGTTAAGTATAAGTTTTCTTTTTGTTTCCATTTTCTTCAATACCTCCTCGTTGCTCACATGTTCTGTCCATGGTATCCTTGGCATCCTTCTATAGAAATTTCAACTGCTTCTTTCTGATGTTAAGTATAAGTTTCCTTTTTGTCTTCATTTCCTCCAAATGCTCGTCGTTGCTCACATGTTCGGCCCAGGTTATCTTCAGCATCATTCTGTAGAAACACATTTCTGTTGCTTCAAGTCTATTCTTCATCTTTGAGAATATTATCCAGAATTTGCTGCTATACAGGAGAAAAATATCACATAACAGTTCAGTACGCTTTTCTTTGTTTCTAACGAAATTTCTCTGTCTCTTAATACTTTGCTTAGTTTTTGTACTGCATCTTTGGTCATCCTAATACGTCTTTAAATTTCAATGTCGCACTCTCCGTTCTCCGTCAGAACACTTCCCAGATATTTAAATTGTTTGGCACCTGCTTGATTTTAATACCCCCGGCCTGTAATTTAAATTTACATCCTTTTGCTAATAACCATGCAATCTGTCTTCTGGTATTTTATGCTTAGTCCTTTCTTCTCGCTTTCCTTTTTGTTTTTGTTGTTTCATGCCTGCGTTTGCTTTCAGTACTGTGTAATCTGTACATCTTATATTGTTAAGAATATGGCCCTATGAATCTTTGTAGCTCTTCTCGTTCTCTCAGAATTGCCTTCCTTTAGAGGTTCACATTCACAGAAGTCACATTATTGTCTGATCCATCTTTCTTCCTGCTACTTGTAGTTCTTAATAAGTTTTTTTTTATTTCTCCCAAACCCTGTTCAGTTATCCTGTTGCGCAAGCCCATCAACTATGTTACAAGCTGATTTCCTCTGTCCCACTTTCCTCATTCTGTCCTGTGAGTATCAGATTTTCCAATCCCTCCTTCCTCATTACGTGCCCCAGAAATTTCAACTGCCTCTTTCTAATGTTAAGTATAAGTTTTCTTTTTGTTTCCATTTTCTCCAAAACCTCCTCGTTGCTCACATGTTCTGTCCATGGTATCCTCAGCATCCTTCTGTAGAAATTTCGATTGCCTCTTTCTGATGTTAAGTATAAGTTTCCTTTGTGTTTCCATTTTATCTAAAACTTTGTCGTTGCTCACATGTTCGGCCCAAGGTATCCTCAGCATCCTTCTGTAGAAATTTCATTTGCCTCTTTCTAATGTTAAGTATAGTTTCTTCTTTGTTTCCATTTTCTTCAAAACCTCGTCGTTGCTCACATGTTCGGTCCATGGTATCCTCAGCATCCTTCTGTAGAAATTTCAACTGCCTCTTTCTAATGTTAAGTATAAGTTTTTTTTGTTTCCATTTTCTCCAAAACCTCATCATTGCTCACATGTTCGGCCCAAGGTATCCTCAGAATCCTTCTGTAGATATTTCAACTGCCTCTTTCTGATGTTACGTATAAGTTTTTTTTTGTTTCCATTTTCTTCAAAACCTCGTCGTTGCTCACATGTTTGGTCCATGGTATCCTCAGCATCCTTCTGTAAAAATTTCAACTGCCTCTTTCTGATGTTAAGTATAAGTTTCCTTTTTGTTTCCATTTTCTTCAAAACCTCGTCGTTGTTCGGTCTATGGTATCCTCAGCATTCTTTAGAACCACATGTCTGTTACTTTGATTCTCTTCATCTTTGAAGCAATTGTCCAATATTCCCGATAATACAGGAGAACATATATCACACAACAGTTCAATACTCTTTTCTTTGTTTCCAACGAAGGTTTCCTGTCTCTTAATACTCTGCTTAGCTTTTGGAAGGCGTCTTTCGCAGATCTTCAGTGTCGCACTTGCCGATCTCTGTTAGAACATTTCCTAGATATTTAAGTTTCTGTGCCTGCTTGATTTTAGTGTCACCGACCTGTAATTTGCATTTTGGGCTCATCTTTTGCTGATGACCATGTATTCTGTCTTCTTGTAGTTCATGCTTAATATCTTCTTCTCGCTCTCCCTCGCTACCTTTTGTAGGAGGTTTTGTTGTTTCCCTTCAGTGTCGGCTATCAGCATTCTGTAAATCTGCTTATCTTACATTGTTAAGATTGTGGCTGCCAATAATGAAACGTAGTAGGATTTCTAGTTGTCTGGGAATCGCCTCGCTGTATAAGTTGAAAGTCCGGTGAGAAGACACATCCTTGTCTTAAAATCTTTTGTATTTTTGTATTTCTGCTGAACTCATTTTTATCCGTATGCAGGCGTTTTGCTGCCAGTAGAGATTTTTGATTATTCTAATATCTTTCTCGAATATGTCAAGGTTGCTAAGCAGCTCTAACATTATAAATCTCTACTCCTGTTCAAAAGAGGGATGTAAACTGGGCGATAGGCGAACCTATCGTCTCCTATCGAGGAAAAAAATGGTTTGATGTGATAAAGCTTTCTTCAAAATCTTGAATCTGATTTTCAGTACAAAAAGTTTTTTTTCCCATTGCCTAACATGGTTTGGTTTGGTTTGTTTTGTTTTACGGCATATCAACCTCAACGAGTTATATAATGCCGACAAAATCTTTATAGATGGGAATATTTTTTCCCAAAATGTATTGCTGGTAATAATTTTCCTTCAAAAA